CCTTAGACACCCACCTAAGGCGAGGTGGACGCCTTGCCCTCGCAGGGCGCCCTGACGCCTAAGCGTCGCCTAGGCGACGCCTTAGGGACGCCTTGAAAACAGAGCTTATATCAGAGGATTTCGGTTGACAAACCAATATGTAGTGATGGAGCAATAAGCAAACGTAAAGAATCTGGCAGACTGAGAATTAAAATTTGAAGTGAATGTAAAATATACATATGATGATCAGGTCAGATAAAGAAGATCCAAGAGATGGCGGAATCTAATAGTGATGTTCGTGGTGAACCTAAGACCTGAGAACAAAAACATGTTTTTGTTATCTATTATTATGTATACTTGACAACGAATCCCTGTCTCCTTCACTAGCATAACAAGAAATAGATTTACTCTCCTTCTTTGTAGACCTTGGATAAAGAAACACAAATCAAGACCAACTTCTACAACCTTTCGCTAGAGCGCTTAAAATGGTGATGTAACCAAACCATCATGTAGATTAAGTTCTAATAGGCATGATGACAGGGCACTAGTTTAGCATCTCAATATTTAAATTGGAGGATTTTGGTTGGTTGACCTATAAGCAAATGTAAAGAATCTGTCACTAAACCAGAAATGGTAAAACAATTAAAATTGAAGTGAATGTAAAATATGCGTACGATGATCGGACCAGAATAGATAACCCAAGAGATCATGAGATTTAATAACTCTGTTCATGGTGAGCTTAAGACTTGAACAAAGTCATGTTATCTGATCTCTATTATTATGTACACTTGACAACAGATTCCTATCTCATTCACTAGTGAAAAGTGAAACATATTGACTTTCCTCCTTTATAGACCTTGGATAACGAAAGAAAAATCGAGATCGAGTTCTACAAATTTGAGCTATAGCACTTAATGTTCTCTTGTAACTAATTCTTGCACTGCTACTACAATTAACCATAGTCATTCAACTTGAATTCAATGGGTGAAACAACTAATGGCAGAGGGACACTGCCAACGGAAATTCAGAAAACATTTTCTGGAAGAAAAAAACGCTACAATTAAATTGTAAAGATCCCAAGCGCGAGGTGTGAATTGCTATGGACTGGAAGCGGCTTGTGACTTTCTAGTGTTCTGGTTCCAGTGACATCTATCTAGCTGCAGTACAGAACTCGGCGACCAAGAACAATAAGACAACATCAAACATCACCATAAGTAAGAAATAACTATACGCAAGTTCAAGAAAAATCGGATCGGACAGAGGCTTACAGTTAAGACGTACTGCTTATTAAGAGGCCTGCGGCGGCCTCCTGGCTTGGGCTTGAAGGAGGGGTTGAACTCGTGCTAGGCCTCCACCTCAGCAACGTTGCGGAACAGCTTCGAGCACTCGTGGAAATGGACTAGACCCGCAAGGATACTAATATTCCACACATATTCAGATTAAATTTCTTGAATCTCTAACTGAAAAGTGATATATCCATGATCTGTTAAATGAAAAATACAAGGAAATGGAATGCAGTTTCAGCAAAGCATGACGATGGTTGTGAAAAAAGAACCGCTACACTTAAATTGTAAGGACCCCAAGGGTGAGGTGTGAATTGCTATGGCCTGGAAGCGGCGTGTGACGTTGTACTTTGCATTGCTTTGTTTTTCTGGTTCAGTGACATCTATCTAGCTACACTGTAAAACACGGTGAGTCAGTGACCAAGAAGAACAATATTCCGATTAAACCGCGAAACAACTTGGAGCACTCGTGGAAATGGACTGGACCGCCAAGATGCTGATATTCCACACATATTCAGATTAACTTTGTTGAATCTCTAACTGAATAACTGATGTCTGCATGTTTCTGTCAAAAGAAAAACAAAGGGAGATGGTTGTGAAATTTGGTAGTCATGCACGTAAGAAATTCCAAAACAAGACTGAATGATATGTGGCAGCTGATGGTAGTAGCATGGCTATAGATCTATATAAAAGTAGCAAGCAAATACGGCAGATTCAGCAAATCGCCAATTCGCCATTGCCGAGCTTCCATCCTTGCCCGCAGTAACTGTGGAGAATCGAAAGAATCAATCCCCATCTGAAACCAGCTTTCAAGTCCAGATCCGTTGAAGAATTGAACTGGGGGAGGGGGAAGGGGAAGAGGATGGGGCCGTACCTTGTCCTGAACAGCGGCGGAGTAGCATCATCCACGCGCGTGCCGAGCGAGGGGGGCGCGTTTGACGAAGAGGAGCTGCTCGCCACCGCAGAATAGCCAGCCATCGCCGCCGGCGGACTAAGAGAAGTGAGCCGGCCGGCGGCGACCCGGTTTGGCTACGGGCGGTTTGTTTTTGCCACGCCACGCTGGACAGACAAGGGTCGACTCCCCTCCTCTTTCGGGAAACACACACACACACACACAGAGAGGGGGGGTAATGGGCCCAATGGGATGGGTGCCGCGACCGGACTGGCGAGACTGGGGTTAGGTCGGCGGCGCGGCGGCCGGCGTCGGCGGCGAGACTGGGGTTCGGCCGGCGGCCGGCGGAGGCGGCGAGACTGGGACTCGTCCTCCCTCGGAGGACATCCCCCGCCCCTCTGTTTCTCTCTGCTCCGAGGGAGGGCCACCCCACCCGACCGGGGGGGCGCCAGGAGGGAGTGCCGCGCCCGCGCCCGGCGGCTGGCCTCAGCTACTTACGGCCGATAGGTGAGGACCCCGCAGCTCGCTCTCCTCCTTTTTCCCTCCCTTCTCGCTTGGCCCCCTTCACCATGTGGCGCGGCACATTGCATTGCATTACTGTATTTCTTTCAACTTTCCCAAAGAAAGGGCATCCTGAACCAAATTCAGGAATATTTGCAGGATTTATTTCGTAACTTGTTTGGTGTCATGAATTGCTTCTTATCTTACTCTGGATAAGGAGGGAGAGCAGAAATTTTGTCACCGCTTATGTGCTTATTACACACACACACACACACAAAAAAAAAAAAGCACAACTGTCCTACATATAGGCAAAGCAAAAGGGCTTTAGATATCGGACGGATAAATAACTTGCCATGTGTGGAGAAACAAAGAATCCATGCAGATCCAACTCACAAAAAGGGCTTTAGCTTATTTATTATTTGTGCTTTCTCGCTTCTCGTTTAGGTTCTCAGGGTTTTCTGTTGGGTTGCATCTCTAGCATCTACCCCAGCTTGCTTGGAACATAAGGCTTTGTTGTTGTTCTTGTATACTAGTACTAGTACTTGTTATTTAGAAGTTTTATATAACAAGTCAACAACTGAATAGCATGTCTCAATTACATCTCGAGGAGAAATGACATCCAAACAAGGGCCCTTAACGTCTTATTATTCTGTCTCATCTTGTTCACCACCACAAATCTAATGTCATCATCAGAACAATATTAAATAGGTTGCAAGCACACTCAAACTTCAGCCTCTGCCTTCTTCCAGCTCACGAGCTTCTCAAGAAACTTTTGCACCCGAATCAAAGTTAAAATATTACTAGTTATTTTACTGGGTACAACTAACAACACTATTCCCTCTGTTCCTAAATATAAGTCTCTTTAGAGATTTCAGTATGTAGTTCGTATTGAAATATCTAAAAGGGCTTATATTTATAGACGGAGTGGAGTAAAATGCAATGCATTTGACTTTACCTCAGCCGGGTCTTCGAGCGAGTACGACGCTTTGGTCCACTTGCGCTCCTTGCTGACAAGGATCCCCAGTCCGCCAGCTCGTCCACGGAGCACCTAATCGGAAAAAAAAGTGGAGATTATTTAAATAATGATTTAACAAGATTAGGTTTCTGTGTTTAGATGATATTACCTTGAATGCATCTTCATCGGTCTTATCATCACCGATGAAGATAGCAACCACCTGAGAACTGTCCCAATTGTTTTTGCGGGCTAGCTGCTCGAGTATATACTTGACTGCAAACCCCTTGTTGAATTCAGCCTTAGGACGAACCTCGTGTACCTATATAATTGCATACAAGTGTACATGTAATGAATATGATCAAAGTTAAGCTTCATGCACTAGCCAACACAACCAAAAGTCTGAACTGGTGGAAAAGGCTGGGCAATCCACATATACACTTCAACACCCCCTCTCACGTGTGACACGGGAAGTCAACACGTGAATAGACTCAGAGGTATGGCTCAAGAGGCCTATACCTGGACACGGAGTGGGGAAGCAGCAATTTTTAGATAAATTGAGCCAGGACTTGCACTGAAGCTTGACATAGTATCAGGGTCTTGAGTTTAAGTCCTTGCTTTTGCAGTTTATCCAAAAATTGATGTTGTCCCCCTCTGTGCCCAGGTATAGGCCTCTTGAGCCATACCTCTGAGTCTATTCCTGTGTTGACTGCTCGCGTCACACGTGAGAGGGGGTGTTGAAGTGTATATGTGGATTGCCCAGCCCTTTCCATTAGTTTGGATTTTTTTTTGTTTATTGAGAAGAAGTTCGGAATTTTGGTTGCGTTAGCTAGTGCATGAAGCTTGACAATTAAAACATTTAAACTTGATTGATGTTCAACGAAATCTACTTACCATGTCACCATCAGTTACTATCAGCTCAGAAAAACCTTTAATGGTTTCCTTGACAAGCTTCTTAACCAGTTGCCGTTCCTGCAAAAAAAACGAACATTAGGAAAATTATTTCAATATAGCAAAGAGGTGGAAGAACTCGGGATTGCGTAACAGTAAAGAAAAGACTCTGAATTGGCGTGCTTTGTTCATCGGGGTTAAGTCCCTTCTTATAGGCGAATTGACTTGGCCATCAAGGCAAAACTAACTGATTACAATTTTGATTATTTATCTCTTTACCAAAACTGACTCTACAATCTTTTAACTAATTTGATTCTGACTCAAACTGAAGGCTAAGGTAAACAGAATAGCTCTATTGGAGAGATTACACCTGCAGGGTGAGGAGATTGATGATCTCATATGGGAGGATGAGGTTGACGAATCTGAGGAGAGGCCTAAGTGGCTTGCACTAGCCAGGTTGCTGACGGACAAAAGTTTCAGTCAAAGTGAATTGATCGGGGACATGCGTGCGGCATGGAATCCGGCTCAGGATGTAGTCTGGAGAAGGATAAACCCTAACCTTTTCTTGATTCAGTTCCATTGTCTTGCGGACTGGAATAAGGCCCTGCATCAGGGTCCGTGGGATTTTAAAGGTTCAGCTCTTCTGATGACTGAATATGATGGGTTCTCAAACCCAGAGAAAGTCAAGATTGATAGGTTGGAAACGTGCTGTCAAATCCACAAGTTGCCGGATGGAGTTTTGAAAAATAAGAACTTTCTGGAAAACATGGCAAAGCGTATAGGGGAGGTTCAGGAGGTTCAGATTACACTCCCTAACAGATTCAAATCACCCTCATGGATTCGTAGGTGAATTCATCCGAGTCCACATAAAACTAGATATGCACAAGAAACTCACTAGATTTGTAAGTTTTATGAGGAAGGGTGAGACTGAGTTCTATCAAGTAAAGTTCGAGAAACTGCCGACGTTTTGCCATGCTTGTGGGAAAATGGGACATTGGCATGAAGAATGTGGCTCGGGAGAGCATGATGAGAAAAAGGTTGAATGGGGTCCCTTTATCATGGCTCCTAGAAGAGGCGGGGGAGGTGGTAGAGGGACAGGACCAAGCCGAGACGGTGGTGCTGGGCGTGGTGACATGAATGGCACAGGTCTGAGAGGAGGTGCGGGAAGGGGCATGAATGGAAGGGCCGGTGCAGCTGCATGGAGGTTGAATTATGATCCAACGAAAAATCCTGATGATCCCAATGCATGGAGTATGATTATACAGGAAAGGATGGGGCAGCAACTAGTGAAAATAACTTAGCTTTGGTGGTCAGATCGGAGGAGAGTCAGACTTTGTTGGGGAAGAGACAAGCAGTGGACAGTACAAATTTGGGATCATCAAGGAACCCAGGCGAGGGAATGGTTGCAAATATTGTGGATCGGTTTGAGCTGTCTAATACTGAGACAGCGGCTGTAGCTACTGTTGTTACTCCTCAGGAAAACAAGAATAGAAAGAAGCCTCGAACAGAAGAGGATGGTACTAATGAATCTGTTTCCAAGATGGATGATGAAAATGATGCAAACCAAATGATATCGGCGGCCTCTTGAGTTAGAGGCTGTTCGGACACAATGAAAATCTTAAGCTATAATTGTCGTGGCCTCATTGGGGCTGTGGCAGTCCAGGCTCTGCTGAAAGTTCTTTTACAGAGCAGCCCGGATGTGGTGTTTCTGCTGGAAACTCATTTGGATGAGTGGCCTGCAGAGTGTCTATGTCGTAAAGTGAAGATGGACTGTAAGGAAGTGGTTAGTAGTGATGGATGTTTCTCTTCGGTATAAGACTGAAAATTTTATTGACGTCAGTATTGGAAATGAACATGAAGCAGTTTGGAGGTTTACTGGTATGTATGGAGAACCAAGATGGCAAAACAAGCACTTGACTTGGCAGCGGCTAAGAGATTTACATGCTATTGCCAATATGCCGTGGTTAGTTATGGGACATCTGTATGGAATACTCTACCCATTTGAGAAAGATAGTGGGAACCCGAGACCACCAGACTATATGCAAGCCTTTAGAGCCGCTCTAGAGGAATGTAAGAGGCAAAAACAATGGAACTTTAGCTTTAGTTATACCTTCTTATCAACCTCCCTGTAGTGCACCGAAAAGGTGAATCTATTGTTTTCAACCGATGCACCCTTTATCTTTCTGATAACCTCCTCCATACGCTCTCTCGCCTGTCATGCAAGTAATGCATTAGCATTTCCAGAATGTAATGAAATTGAATAACAGATATGCGCACTATTATATTCCGTTGTATTTTATACCTGATTTATAACAGGTTGATACTCGCTGGCAGGTTCGTAGGCTTCTGTTTCGTCACTCTGCAGGTCAAATAGTACGTAAATTACGAGCGCGTCAAAGAGAAAGGATAAACTACATATAGGAATTGCTAAATTTAACAATGACTTACGAGTTTGATATCTGATCCGTGGCTCCCTGCGTAATGCAGATTTTCAAGCATGATGAAATTTTTTACCTGCAGATGAATAGCAAAACAAGTGAGTCGCTAATTACAAATGTATAGAACATCGAAATTAAAAGGCTACTGGATACCCATTAGCCGGTAATACCTTATCGCGGGCCCTTCCACTGACAACTGAAGTGGCGCACAAGGAGGCAATTTCTTGAACAGCATCACGCATCTGATTATATGGAATCAGGGATTAGAAAGATTTACATGTTATGACCGGGGTAACTTATACCCGGAGGAGGCCCACTGGGCGCGTTTAGTTAGGGGCTTAGCCCAAAAGTTATCTTATTTTTATTAGCATCGTGATTATATAAACAGTTGTAAAGACTCTTTTGGAAATCAAGCAATAAGACAATTCTATTGCCCGGCTCCCTAAGGAGCCGTAACCCTAAACCCTAACCGCCTCCTACCATCGCCGCCGCCTCCTCCCTCGCGCATGAGGGCGCCCAGCCGCCGCCGGCCGTGTGTTCGCCCACATCCAGCTCCCTTCTTCCCCTACAACCTCCGGCCTAGACCCGGTAGAACCCTAGTTCCTACCACTTTGGTATCAGCTAGCTCGGTTGTGATCATGTCTTCGCCGCCGCCCATCCCATCCCTCCCGCTGCCCACTGCCACAACCGCCCCGCTGTCCACAACGACCAGCGCGCCTCCCTCGTCGGTGCCCGTCACCGCCGCCGCGCCGGTCGCCGCCGTCTTCTCTCCGGAGGAGGTCACCGGAGCAATCCGCGATCTCGCCACCACGGTCCAAGGCATCCGCCTATACCTGGCGGGCCCCTACGGGCCACCGCCGGCTGCGCCAACCGCCGCCGCCACCGGGGCCCTTCTCCTGCCATGGCAGCCGCCGCTCCCGGGGGCCTCCGCGGCGCTGGTCGGGCCGCTGCAGCTGCAGCCACCCCCAGCTATGGCCGCCGTGGTCGTCCCCGGCCACCGCGGTTTCCGCCATGTCCGGCGCCCCCATGCAGCCGCAGCTGCAGCTGAAGGCGCCACCGCCGCCCAGCACCGGGTCGGCTACGACCGCGCCGGCGGGCGTTCCGATCCAACAGGTTCGGTTCCCGCCCTCGCCGTCCCAACTTCCACCCTGGTTGGCCGGGCCGTCACCGCCGCCGGTCTATACTATGGTCGGGGAATAGCCAGCGCCTCCCATATGCCGTACGGCGGGCCACCGTTTCACGAGGACCCCCTGTGCACACCGGGTCGGCGCCATCTTCTTTGCTGCTCCGTACCGCCGAGCTGTACGCTCACGGCGGTCATGCTCAGACACCGCCGCGTTTCGCCAAGCTCGACTTCGCCACCTACGACGGCATCGAGGACCCCCTCAACTGGCTCAACCAGTGTGAGCAATTCTTCCGGGGGCAACGCACGCTGGCGTCGGACCGCACCTGGCTCGCCTTTTATCACCTTCGGGGCGCCGCACAGACGTGGTACTATGCCCTCGAGCAGGACGAGGGCGGCATGCCCCCATGGGAGCGCTTTCGCGAGCTATGCCTCCTTCGCTTCGGGCCGCTAATACGCAGGAGCCGGCTGGCAGAACTCGGTCACCTCCCCTTCACCTCCACGGTGCAGGACTTCGCCGACCATTTCCAGGCCGTGGCGTACCACGCGTCGGGCGTGACGGCTCAGTAGCGCGCCGAGCTCTTCGTCGATGGTCTGCAGGATCACATCCGTGTGGACGTGGAGCTTCGGGGACCCCAGAATCTCTAGACGGCCATGTACTACGCTCGTGCCTTCAAGCGTCGTGCGCAGGCCTTGTAGCAGGCGGCACCGGCTCGGGGTGGCCGACAGCCCGCCAGGCCGCCCCCGACACCACTTGTGCCGGGCCGATCGCCCCCGGCCGCTCCAGCGACTACCGCTCCGGCCACGACGTGGCCCTTCTGCCTGCTCTCTCCGGCCGAGCAGCTTGAGCGACGTCACCAGGGGCTTTGCTGTAACTGCAATGAGCCCTACGTGTCGGGTCATGTCTGCCCGCACCTCTTCTACCTAGAGGCAGCTGACTACATCGAGGAGGACACACCCGCCGACGGGCTTGGCGAGTTGCTGCCACCAGTTGCTGCGGAGGCCGCCCCCGCGCCCGCTTCAGCAATGGCGCTTGTGGTCTCGCTCCATGCGCTTGCCGGCATCCGCGACGAGCGGACTATGCTCTTGCCGGTGATGATTCACGGCGAGCGCCTGGTTGCCCTCCTGGATATGGGCTCCACGCATAACTTCCTGCCCGAGGCTACCATGCGACGCTTAGCGCTTCAGTCGACGGGCGGGAAGCAACTTCGGGTCACGGTGGCTAACGGCGACTGCCTCCGGTGCCATGGGCTTGCGCGGAACGTGCCCATCACCATCGGCGACGAGCACTTTACTATCACGTGCGCCGGCATCGACTTGGGCTGCTTCGACTTCATCCTTGGCGTCGACTTCTTGCGGACCCTCGGTCCCATCCTCTGGGACTTCGACGCCCTGACGATGACCTTCTGGCGCCTGGGTCGCCGCGTCCGGTGGGAGGGCGTGGGTGACGCCTCACCAGTGACACCGCAGCTGTAGCTGGCCGCGACCGCCGCCGAACCCGAGCACCCACTGTTGGATCACCTCCTGCAGCAGCACCGCGACCTCTTCCACGAGCCTCAGGGCCTTCCGCCAGCCCGGGTTTATGATCACCGCAATCATCTCCTGACGGGCACGGCGCCGGTTGTAGTCTGGAGAAGGATAAACCCTAACCTTTTCTTGATTCAGTTCCATTGTCTTGCGGACTGGAATAAGGCCCTGCATCAGGGTCCGTGGGATTTTAAAGGTTCAGCTCTTCTGATGACTGAATATGATGGGTTCTCAAACCCAGAGAAAGTCAAGATTGATAGGTTGGAAACGTGCTGTCAAGTCCACAAGTTGCCGGATGGAGTTTTGAAAAATAAGAACTTTCTGGAAAACATGGCAAAGCGTATAGGGGAGGTTCAGGAGGTTCAGATTACACTCCCTAACAGATTCAAATCACCCTCATGGATTCGTAGGTGAATTCATCCGAGTCCACATAAAACTAGATATGCACAAGAAACTCACTAGATTTGTAAGTTTTATGAGGAAGGGTGAGACTGAGTTCTATCAAGTAAAGTTCGAGAAACTGCCGACGTTTTGCCATGCTTGTGGGAAAATGGGACATTGGCATGAAGAATGTGGCTCGGGAGAGCATGATGAGAAAAAGGTTGAATGGGGTCCCTTTATCATGGCTCCTAGAAGAGGCGGGGGAGGTGGTAGAGGGACAGGACCAAGCCGAGACGGTGGTGCTGGGCGTGGTGACATGAATGGCACAGGTCTGAGAGGAGGTGCGGGAAGGGGCATGAATGGAAGGGCCGGTGCAGCTGC